AGTATCACGCTAATTATTTTTTTGAAAGAATGACTTGAGAATGATTACTAGCCCCAATGTACATTAGGTACGTACCATATACCTCCTTCCCACATAGAGGAGGGATGCGAGACAGAGGGAGGGGGAATCCAAAGTCCATAGTTGAGTAGCAGTTTTTTCCATTGCTATCGAATGCTTCAACTTCTTCTACACAATCTCCAATCCAACAAGCAGCGCATCAAACGGGTTCATTTCATTGTCCCCCAATTCACTCCTTATCTACCACATTATTCTCTGTTCTCCTCCGTTCCTGTTCATCCTTCGCGTCGATCTTCTCCATCAGCTATAAAACCCACTAACATCCATCCAATTCCGATTAACTTTCGAGGCATTGCAAAAGATGTGATACCAGATTGTTCTTATCTCTTTGATTGCAGCAGCGGTGAGACTTTGGCCAACTCTTCTCTCAAATATTTCATTTTTAGGCTTTCTTGTATCTCCCCAGAAACTGTTCGCAGATTTTGGAGAGTTCATCCGTTAAAACCTCAAGACGTTCTTGAAATTCTTCTGGGTTTTCAATGTGTCTGCAATAATATTTGGCTTGAGGCTGAAAAGATTGATTCTTTGTGGGGGATTTTTAGGCGGGCAAGCCAGCAGAGTAAGGGGTTTGAGCATCTTTCTCAATCTTACAAGATCATGGCCTCCATGCTTATCCGGGCCGGGATGTTTGAGGAGGTTGAATGCTTGCTTTCCATGGCTACAAGTCAGGAAGTTCTCTTCGATGATCATGAAATTTTCAGTAATTTGATTCAAGGGTATGTGGGTGAGCTCCATTTGGAGAAGGCTGTTGCAAGTTATGATAGAATGAGGATTCTAGGCTTAGTCCCATCATTGTCATGCTATGAACTCCTTCTCAAGTTCTTGATTCAACTAAATGTGACCCAACTGGCACCTCAAATTTTTGCGGATGCTATAACTCTAGGTATGGGAAGGACAGTACCACAAGGGCACATTTATGGGAGTGTTGTTAGGCTTTTGTGTGCAGACGGTAAAGTTCAGGATGCTAGAAATCTTGTCAAGAAAGGTCTTACTCTTGGAATTAAGCCCAGCAACTTAGTTCTCAATGCAATGGTGACTGCGTACTGCGAGAAGAGGGATTATGATGACATACTTAGTTTCTTTGTCGAAGTAAGATGTATCCCCGGTGTTCATGTAGCCAACAAGATCATCCATTCTTTGTGTACATATCTTGGTTCACAGTGTGCCAACTCCTTCCGCCTGAGGCTGGAAGAATTGGGTTTTTGTTCCAACGAAATAACCCTCGGAATTTTGATTGGGTGGAGTTGCCGAGAGGGGAAAATCAAAGACGCTTTCATTTATTTTAATGAGATTCTGTCAAGACGTCTCAAGCCACAGGGGTATTCATATGACGCTCTTCTGAGCGGGCTCTTCAAGCAGGGCATGTGGAAGCACTCTCAAGAGATTCTCTATGAAATGAAGGAAACCACAGATGGGCTCCAACTGTC